ACAGAAAGATCATGGGCCTTGTATCCGTGAACTGTTGTTATTGAACTTTATCACATAAAAAAATTAATATTTTTTATGTTTGATAACAGCAATGCGACACAGAGAAAAAGGCTCTTGGTTCATCAATGTTCTGGCTGAGGTGTTTGCAGCAGAAGCATACTGGAGTAACCTGGATAACCTTGCTCACAAGGTTTACAGTTATTTTATTATATCAAACTATAACTCAGAAAAATAATGCGCCCAAAGTTTTGGAATGTGTAATAATATAAGTGTGATGAAGTGCAACTTGGACAATTAGTTAGCTTACACTATTACAAAACATTGTTCCCATAAACCACCATGTGTGTACATGTGGCATGTGGCATGTGTCATGTGGTATGTGTGTACATGTGGCATTTAACATGCATTTCTCATACATTTGCCAATAAAGGTGCACGCCAAAATGTCAGCGAAACAAGGAAGAGAAATAGTTATGAATGAAATTACAAAGAAGGACCAAGCCGAATATCGGAAGCAGATGGCAGTGTGTGATAATTCTCTACAAAAAGACTTCTACTTCAATCCACCTCCTGTAAGTATAGTATTAGTTATGCTATAATTATTGATGAAGTTTTTGTTTTAAAATTCCAGCCAGCTAAGAAGTAGCTATAGTTGTATTACTTACTTGCTACTACTTACTTACTTACTTACTTACTTACTTACTTACTACTTACTTACTTACTATACTTGTACTTACTTACTTGTCAATATTTATGTTGATGCACAATGAACCTATGAATAATGAAGAAGTCAATGTACATCAAATTGGCTGTAATTAAACATGGAGTGTGTAGTACATGCCATCCTGGAATGTTTGAACAACTAAAAATTATGAGCAGCAAATATTATGAATGATAGCGTTGAGATAAATATTTGGGACAAATAAATATTGACAGTGCTTCCCTGGTTTGTTTATTATTTGTAGCAATACAGACTCTTCAATCACCACTCGTATGAAATATAATATACTAACACTAGTCTCTTTTAAATGATTCCATTGTTTATATTGTGTTCTACAATCTCGTCTTTTATGGTGAAGGACGTTAGTGAAATGTGTTCATTTTTCAATGACTTTAGCTAACCAAGGTTGTTGGATGGGGCATTACATTGGCGTACTGGCACTGGTCTGGATTACTGGATATAATTAAGGATGACTTATCGAGCAAGTTGCAGGCATGGAACAATGAAGAGATGGCTGGTGCCACAGTGATGCCACAGCTCTTAGTGCTCTACTCACAGAGCTGTCGATTATCGGAAGAGACTAATAGGCAAATGACAAAGCTGTTGGAGTCGGACACTGAAAATAAGACGACTGTTCCCATAACAATGAAGAACCTGTGCGGTGTACGACAGAAACCGTATTTTGTTTCTCTTAATAAACGTAGGTGTAGTCGCAAAGACTACTACATTCCTTGTGACTATCCAACCTGTTTGAAAGGGTTACAGCTTACAGACACCGATCACGAGCAGAGAAATAATGAGCTGTATTGGTTTCATATCACGCTGCAGCAAATCCTATCTAAGAGGTTTTCTCAAGTGAAATGTCCCTTCGTACTAGTTCCTTTTGATGACAAGAAACCAAATGCTGTAGATGCTACAGTGAAGGAAATGACTAAACTATGGCGAGAAGACAAAATACACGGATTTCAACTGGAGGACGGAGAACCGGAGTGGCTGAAAATGTCCGCTTCACTGCTTGGTAAAAGTTTAAAATTGGAATTCCAAAGTTGGATGCCTATAGGCATTTTGCTTGCGCAGCGATGGGCAGACCTGTATTTCAGAAATTATGGCCCAAGGTTGTTGGAAACTGTCACAAACTTCCTTTACACGCCGCACGAGACTAAGGTCCTTCTTGACAATGATGATGACGATGATGATGATGATAGTGGTCACGATATGTATGAAACTAGTGACTCTGAGAGGATTCACCAAGGCGATGGAGATACAGAAATTGACGCTAGTAAAATGGACTGGCAGGCAAGCAACACCGATTCTTTTCCGGTAAGAAAACTCCTAGTACTGTTGCCCAGGACGTGCAAAACGTTCGATTGTGTATCTGACGATGAACAATCAGTTGAAGCTGAGAAAGACATGGATGACTTTCCTGATAGCACAAAAGGCATAGGTCAACGGATAATAGGAAAAAGCACAGTTTACAAGCTAGAAAGTACATTTTTCCTGGCCGAGTACGCAACCCCACTGCGTTGCCTGCGCCTCATGATGGAGGATGGTAGAATAACAGAGCAGTTAATGGATGATTACTATCGCCAGTTTTGTAGCCACTTAGAATTATGGTTGCAAAGATATCGATCATTAAAAGAGAGTTTTAGCCTTGTGCAGTATGATGATAGAGATAAGAACCAAGCACTGCTGGATGCTTTAAAGAAGCATCTAAAGCAACATCAACAATAGTTCCTCATTACAGGGATATGTTAATGGTCTTCAATCGTATTACTCACCTGAGGGCGATTATATCGCAGTAGTGTCGCTGGTATTCAGCAATATTGATATCTCATATATATCTCCAGAAGTTGAAGTGCCTTCCGTTAATAATTTGAATATTGGATAAGCAAATAGGTGCAATGCAAGTATATATAAATCATATATATAATCAAACGTGGATTTCGGTGGTTGACTGCTGTAATTATATTGCACGGTTGATGGACTTTAATTTTAACATGATTATGTATTTTTTACGCGTATGATTTCATGTTTGCTACATTTGAAAGTCTACATAAAACATCAATGTCGTGGGTAAAATGTGTGCTAGTCAAATGTCATTTTTTTCGTTTTCTAGCAGTTTGAAATGACTATCGAAGTGAATGTAAAACGTTCTATCTATTAATAATTGAAGCTCATGACCTCATGATCGTTTGCTTTTCTTAGATTGTTATCAATGTATTGTGATTTGATTATTGATGTATTTGGATATATCATATAAGCATAAGAACTCCGGGCCGTTATGATGTTATAAGTGTTAAATGTCACAACATTTGTGTAACTTCACTTCAAAAGTTATAGTATTTTATACACATGATTTCATAACTTCTTGATCTTTTTTTACACCGGCCCCATGGTCAATATGTACGTGTCGCAACTTTTTATCAGTGCCTGTATTTTTATCACTATGGTGGCTGTATGTCATGCCTGATGACTATGCTTATATGTAAATGAGACCATTCTACATTTGATTACCTATACACGTGATTTTTAAGCGTGGAGATGGAGGTGTCACGTGTTCAAAAGAAGCACGTTGAAAACATTTGTACTAGAGTAGTAGTGTGGCTATATTTTATGTAAAAGAATATTTTAATAATGTTTGGTATATTTGAAGCAAAAACGGTCACGTTCACAATGTTTGAATATGCGTCGACTCTGTTAATTTTCGATTGTTAAAATGTCAATTTTTTATAAAAAAATATAGCTACTACGGGCTTTGACCTGATGGGACGTACGTACCATGATAGCAGGGGTGAATAATAGAGATCTAGAGATCTCGAGAGTTAGAATAATAGAGATCTCTATTATTCACTTTTGATGGTAGTAATAGCGAAGAGAACCGTGCCATTGTGTTACGCAAGAATATATATAGACGGATATATATGCGACCTATATAGACGGATGCAATTAATGTGCCAATATGCTCTAAGCGCTGCTGTGGACAACTACATGGTTATTATTACTTGTTGATGCGGACGTTTACCGCATAAAACTAATCATGCTCGACTGTTATTCATTTATCTTAATAAACGAGTATATATCACCGTTACAACAAATAGAAGCAATGTTGCTATTTATGCATTTTCTCAGTTTGCGCAGCCTGACACGCAATGCAATATGTCCCGTCAACTCATAATGGCCAAAAGTTCTGTACGCCCGCAAAATCGGGAAAAGAAACATAGACATTGATTACAGCCGGCGATATTACATGCCTTCACCCACAAATTTGTTCATCGCTTAATCGTGACACTTTTATGGTTCTTGACCATAGCAACTATATAGACACTATTAGAAAGTCTAACTAGTATGTAATTTCTATGTTCTTAACCTACTCCGGGCGGGGGTTCACCTAGGTTCTTAACCTACTCCTAAAGCGGGGGTCCACTGGATGTATGTGCGCGTGCGTGTGTGCGTGCGAGCGAGCGTGTAAAATATCACATTGTAACTGATGCAAAACGCAACACGCGCTAAAAATTAATGTCGTCTACTGACCGATGCTGTCACAAAATACATACATTGTTTCCTCGCCATTGATGGCCGTCATAATTTGCGAAAGAGCTCTAAACCAGTGGAAGAGGTCAAGATAGCAGAACTAAAAACATTCAGACAAAACAAACCCGTACGCCCGCGTACACACATGGCTTACAAAAACAAATAAATCCAGTCCTACGCACTGCGCCGCGCCGGAATTCTTAAATATTATTGTGCATCTTTTAAGGAAATATGCTTGTTTTTGTGATACTTTCATGAACAAAGCTGAATTTTGATGCATATCCATCAACCTTACCGCAAAGCACTCCGTTCTAATTTTCTTACTATTGATACAGAGGTAAGACAGATATACAAAAAATATGCCAACAAATACAGCCAAATTGGCACACGAGAGACAAGCACAGGGCAATAACATCGAGCAATTCTTATATCGTTCCTAATATTCCTACACAGCGACAACCAGAATGGATGAAAGAATTATAAAATATTTTGATAAGAAATTTGCGGAGATGAAGCAGGAAATTGAACAGTCTAAAACGGAGCTCCGGACTGAAATTCGGGAACATTTTGACAAGCTATCAAAAAAAATTGATTCAGTAAACGAACGGGTGGAAGTGCTCGAGGCAGATGTATTAGATGTAAGAACATCGACTGCACATACTGAAGAGACAGTGGAAGAAATGAGAGCGGCATTAGAGAAAATGAGCAGTCGAGTCCTGGAGCTAGACGCATATGGGAGGCGTGAAAATCTAAGATTCTATGGAGTACCCGAAACACCAGGGGAAAATACCGAAACTGTGCTCAAGAACTTTCTTGAAAAAGAACTGAATACACCGAATGTTGATAAAATTGAATTTCAACGGGTACATCGTGCTGGAGTCTGGAATTCGCGAACGGCAACACCCTCGGCAAGACCTAGAGCTATACTGGCGAGATTCCTGAGGTATGCAGATGTTGCCAACGTCAAGAAAGCAGCCTACACTAGACCTAAAGGCGGACGAGGTAGTGTGCAGGACGACCTACCATTTGAGTGGGCAATGGAGAGGAAACAACTCTGGAGCACGGTAAAACAAGCAAAAATGGACAGAAAGAAGGTCAGATGGACGAATAGGAACTTATTATTTATTGATGGGAAAAAAGTAAATTGACTGCTCCCAGAACTGCGTGTGTGTGTCTGTGTGTGGCGTACGCAAATGTACACCAAGAGGTCACGTAAATCTTTATACCATTCATAGGAGTGAGCGCGTTGTAGAGAGTATGTGTGTGTGTGTGTGTGTGTGTGTGTGTGTGTGTGTGTGTGTATGTGTGTGCGTCGTACATCAAGGAAGAGGAAGTCACGGTCTGTCGCATAGTTTATGCAGCTAAATGTATGTAAACAGTACATGTATAAAATGTGCACATGCAGCAAATACTGGTCGGGCTAAAGCGCTACAAATATACAGTAATCTCTCTTTGATGTAGCAATGCTAGTGTCATTTCCATTGGCTTCTCAGCACTTCCCGCATGATACGCACATGCTACAAGCCACACTGGTCGCCAGGCTCTACAGTGCGCCTAATGTAGGGATCCATTGCATATAAGGTCGGCTTCAAACAAAAATATTTCCACAAACTAATAATTTGTGCTAGCAAACTAAAATAGTCTCACGTCACAAGTATACGGTGTAAAATTCGTAGTGTATAAATATGTCACCAGATAGCGCAGGATGCCGGTTTTCGTTCAGTCATATATTATTGCTCTTCACAAAATGAGGTATTTATACTGCAAAATATACTATTTCATAAAACACAAATGGTATGGTACTTCATGTATGAACGGATGACTGGTTACCTTGTGATATCCTTACAATATTGCCTGGCCAGTGCAGTGTAAACAGTGTAACATTGTTTCAAAAAGTCATATTTCTACAGCCCAATAATACATAGCAGCAAGAGCTAATGATACCCTATATTTATATTTATTATTAGCTTTTGATAGCAGCTATAGACAGTTTCAATAGGTTTGTTCCCCCACCGCCAGCCACCAGTAGGCTACCAGTTGTCAAATGTCCCTTCTACGTGTGTGCTCTAGTGTATTCTATCTTCATAATGTTCTATGTGTCTCTATTATATCTTATTCAACATTGTACTCCTTTGCTCTTTCTTTTCTCTGTGTGTTCATTGTGGGAGGATTCCTGGTTTTAGGTCAGAGCCGTTTCACA